CCAGTCCGGCAAGCTGTATTTTATTGGTTATAATAATGAGCTCCTTAATCTACTCTAAAAACGAGAGTGAATATCATGCAAAGGCGATCGGATTAAACAATTTTTTGTATTTAAAGATTTAATTCTCGCGATTCTATTCTAGGACTTCCCTCACGGGCGCGCTGCGTTTCCGAGTATCAGGCGCTGTCGTTCGCGGGGCAACGCCCGGGGTATCCTTGCTAATGGAAATGCGCACCGGGACCCGTAACAAACGCACGGTAAGGCCGCGTTGAGCGCTCCATTAGCGCCGCGAAACACGCAGATTATGAGCCGCGGCGCGGCCTAAGCCCAAATTCAAATCCTACACTGAGCGCGCAGTGTTATCGGCAGAGTATAGTAATGAGATATGCAACAAATCCCGTGATGACAGGTCGTTATCATCAACACTTGGAGATTCCGAAATGAGTAGACACGTTTGAAAACGAGATATTATCGATCTTTCAAATTTTTGGGGAGGCATATTTACGTACAATCAGTGTTTCCTGCTCTCAATGCGGTTATTGCTTCCGTTTGGATTTCTGAAGAAAAACCTGATTCCTGTTAAATGAAACACCACCAGCTCCTTTTTGTCGACAGAAACCCTGACAAATACTGTATTTTACAAATATAGAACGCGTCAAGAAATTTAAATATTATTTCAAAACGAACATATATTTCTTGAAATTATTTAATTATTTTCATGTGAAATTTTTAAAACTTGCAGATAATGATCTTCACATAATTGTAACTATAATTATAAACAGTTAACTAGTGATAACTAGTGATAACTAGTGATAACTAGTGCATTATGTTTGTTTGGTTTTTCTTTCGTAACTTGGCTGACGTAGGTCGCGGGAAACAATTTGTCAGTTTATTTGTCAGTCTTACGGTCCTATTTGTGTTCTTATTCTTCTTCAGTTTTGCCATTTTTTCGTTGAGATTTTCCCTACTTTCTTATTGTGCGTGTTAGTTACTATTTTATTTTTTCTTTTAATCTTATGAATTTTTACAATTTAGACTTATTAGCCAAGAACCTTTTCCCATCACCCGATGTCACAGCCTGGCATGTTTGGACACTTTAAACATAGGTTTCCAAGTGGATAGTGCAATGTCGTGATAGATTGAGTGCCAATAACAAGTTCGCATCAACATTATTTTTACTTTGATACATATAGCCTTGAATTGAGAGTGCATATGGTCCAATAAAAGTGTTTAGAAACAAATCATTTCTTAAAATAAGAGCAAGGAAGAAATGAAACCGCTTACACAAATGAGATTTTGAAATATAAAATCAAAACCTGGATAATTCCGAATTTGTAGCTAATATGTGAATCTCTCTGAGTATTGTAGAGTTCATTATTATGATGGAATAATAAACTAACATTACAGTCTATGAAACTGACGTTGTTTTCACAAAGGTAAAACAAACTAATTTTATATTTACTGTTTTTTTACTTTATATATAAAATGTTTACATAAAACTAAAATGCTATATAATATCATTCAAAACGCATTTGAAAATGTCTTATCCATTATTCCTAGTGTCATGGACCCTCCATCCTTTTTATGAGTTATAACAATATCACTTCCGTGGCAGACGTGTTATCGCGCTCTTGACAGCTGCGTTGGAAGATAATAGAGGAACCAGAAATTCAGAGTGCTGTTACAGAGTGATTCAGACCGCTGACCTATCTCGAAAACCGAAAAGCCGGAATTACTTATATCATGAAATGTTCTAACCACATACATTCAGGCACAAAGCTCTTCATGTACAAAAAAATTGAATGAAACGATTTTAACGTGTCAACGTATTACGGAATAGTAACCGAAAAGTAATAATAGCGCATTTATAATTTTCTACTGAAGGAATAAAACGGAAAAAATATTTTTACGCTATATTAAATGACAGACTCTTTTTAAAATTGTTTTCAAAAATAGAGATAGATCAGTTCAATTTTCGAAACGTTGAAATTAACGATTCAGGGGATTATCTCAGTTGACAGAGCTCAACGGACACATCCACCACACATCGCGGCAGATTAAAGAATCGGAAGTAAGAAGCTTTCAGAATCGCTAGACACTACTACTCGTATAAGGGTAAGTCAAAAATGTGGGACATTATATTACTTCTCAATGAAGACATATGGACGAAAGTTTACAGAATTTGGAAAATAAAATGAATAATGCTGAACTGCTTCCACAGTGGGTAAAAACAACTGAACGTAAAACTGCGTGATGTATTCAATTGATTACATTTTATTCCGCACGCGTCAACTGTTATAGCTGTTACTCTCGTAAGTGCAATAAATGTTACATCCCGGCAGTGGGATGAAATTCTCTCAATTCAGAAAGCGAGACACGAAATCGACCTGCGCGTTGGATTGAGGGGATTTTCTTCTCCAGGGATCTCCACTAACGGGGCACCCCACAAATAATGACAATATCTAAGCTCACAACTGGTCACTCGGCATGTGTGGTATTGCATGGGCAGAAAAAATGTGTGTGAGTCTGTGTGTGTATGTGCGTCAATTTGCAAGGGTATATTCAGAAGGCTCCGGTATTTCCCTGGTATTAAGAAGTGAAACTACAGAATACTAACAGTACTAAAAGAAAAGTAACCAAAAGAAGCAGTACTAAAGAGTTAAGAATATACCATGTTAATCGTAAGTTGTGTCATAATTTTAATAGCATTGTGGTGTGTATTAGAAATATTTTATCTTATAACTTCAATGAAGAAAGATGAATTTTACATTACTTAAAATGAGACACAATTGAAACCTTCTTAGGAAATTTAATCTAAACATTGCGTTCCTTTTAAATTTTCGAAATTTAAAAAATACCCAAACATTTCTAATTTGGTTTTTTACAACCTCATATGAAAATATTCAAATATCCTCACCAAATCATTTGCTCATTTCGTATATGTTGAATATACAGCACATTGCAATAAAAAATCTCAATGATGTACTCAGCGCTCCAATTCCATAAGGAAAATAAAAATAAATTAATCATGAAAATAACACAAAAATAAAAAATCCAAAGGATAGAAATCATTTAGTTTTATAAATATTTATGTCGACGAGTACTAAACATGTAAGCAAAGCAGATTTTCCAACTCATTTGAAATACACACTAATACGATTCCTAGCTTTGCAAGTAATTTTCATTTTCAAACCATTGGGAAGCTCAACGTCAGTTCCAAGGTTCACCACCAGATCGCGGGCATTCCTAGAAGCCCCGCCCGAAGCAGCTCAGAGGAAATTAAATGGGCATCGTATTAAAATGAAGTTGGAGATTAATAAAAACTAAAAAAAATTAAAACACTATTTACCAATGACGTATAGTAACTGAAATTGTCTTTACAAAATTAGCACTTCAAGTTCAGTTCACAGAATATGTGAATAGTTTTCTGAGAAAATTTTGAAATGGGTGTGTAAATCACATTAACTACGAACAAACTTTCATATCTTAATAACTCGCCCACGCGTACGAAGGACTGAATTCCCGGATGAATTACTGAATTGCACGCATTGAAACGTAAGAGAGGATGTCTATCCAATAGCATATTATGTTACAAATATTACGTTCTCTCCTCTGCGAGTGAGATTCCGCATACTTGCTGTGCAAAGTCAATGAAACCTCTGGATAAGAACGATCGTTTGAAGTTTTGTTTGCTCTTGACAGCGCTGGGGAGCAATCAACGAACTAAAGGGTCCGATGTAGTTGTAGCGAAACTTTTCAGTGCAGTTTGTTTGCGCTGGGGGACCCGAGATCAACACTCGCTACGGTTTACCGGCTGCCTCTCACCGGGGATTTACTGGCGCAATTAAGTGGCTTCGGAAGATCTTCAGCACAGATGCAAATTAACCAACTTATAAGAACCCTCCAATTTTTTCTGAACCTTCCTTCGATTTTAAGAAGTTGCGTATTTTATAAAGTTCATATTCAATTATAAACAATAAAAGTACACAACTCAGAATTTTTGAATACATATAAATGAATCTGAATATGCAAAAAAAAAGAGTAAAATAAATATAATAAGAATGAAAGTATTTTTAAAAAGTTTCAAACAATGATGTGAGTTTCAGATATGAGATATTGGCTTCAAAGTCCTTAGAACAAAAACTATGAACGTTATATAATTAAAAATATTATGTTATTATTTTCATTGTAAAAACTGTGTTTATAACCCACACACATTGTTAAATATTTGTAAGTCAAACGTCTTTGGCTCGACTTCAAACCTGACAATTTTATTCTGTATAAATAACATTCATGATTTTTTGTTATGTTTCTTCCTCCTGGAATTACTGCCAACAAACAGTATACTGACAACTGACATACCGTGACAGTTCCTCACTTTCTTCACGCTCGCAGTGTCTCGTCCTTCTTTTAATACAGAACGCTCTTTGGAAGAGATATCGCGGAGAAAGCAAGAAAATTTTGAATTTATAAAATACAATCAAATTACGACCCACATGAGTCACATGCCTCACAAATCTTATTTATAATCAGACCTTAAAAATAACTTGATAAAGAAACAGAGGCTCTTCTCCTTTTTCGTAAGTAAAAAGAGAGAATCGTCTCACTTCTGCGAGTTCTTCACGAAAGACAACACGCACTTGTGAGCGCAAAGATAACATATTTATAACACGAAACCTTTAACGGGAGTTGACGCTTCTCTACGTTTGTCCGATTTCATGACGTAGATCCGGCCTTCGACCTACGCGACCAATATAAAACGCCCTTCAGCTTGTCCAACGCCTTTTACGCCTACATACTTTTTCACTAAATGAAAACGCACCATTCTCAATTGAACTACGAGTCAATGTCTCGGTCTTGGGTTTCGTTCATCATTATCGTATCGTCGGCTTTGACTCGTAGAGATAGAACCCAAAGAAGTATATACAAATAATTTATTTTGTGGGGTAAATCCAAATGTGAAAACAACTAAGCCACTTGGACTCGTAAGCATTGGGAGCTTAAGAAGACGGTACCTGGAAGGCGAGTTTGTTGTAGCCTTCGGGGCGGGTGAGGGGGTCGTACTCCAGGAAGACGCACGCAGTCTGCTCTTGCGAGGTGAACACGTAGGTGACCTCCCCGTGGCAGAAGTAGACGGGCGCGGACGCCGTCAGGATCACCACCCACGTGACGATGATGGCCAGCAACGCGTTGGGCTCGGTGCGGATGGACATCGACGTGATGGGGTGCACCACGGCCAGGTAGCGGTCCAGCGACATCAGCACCAGCGTGTACACGCTGGCGTACGCCGTCACCACGATGAGGTACTGCACGATCTTGCACCAGACGTCCCCGAAGGGCCAGTACGGCAGCACGTAGTCGGTGGCGGTGAACGGCACGCAAAACACGATGAACAGCAAGTCGGCCCACGCCAGGTTGAAGATGAGCAGGTTGGTGGTGCTGCGCATTTGCTGGTTGGCCGCCACCACGATCACCACGAGCGCGTTGCCGATGAGCCCGATGAGCACGATGAGCGTGAAGAGAATGGGGACCACGATGGTCACCACCTTCTGCGTGATCTCATTATCCGCCTCGACGCCCACGTACGGCGGAGTGCTGTTGGCGCACAGGGAGATGACGTCCCCGGAGACGTTGTTGCACATGGCGTAGCTGGAGTGGCCCGGCATCTCGGCGGCGGCCGCGGGGGCGGCGGACGACGGCTCTTCCATCAGGCGGCGAACTCTGCGCAGCGCGGCGCGGCCGGCAACTGTTCCTACTGAGATTACGGTCTCGGGGGCTGGGGCTTGGGCAGGGGACGGGGACTGCGGCGGCGAGCGCAGCGGAGACACTGATAACAACAGCGGCAGCCGCAGCACTGAGGGAGCCGGCGGCGCACGCGGCGAGTGGCAGGCGGCGCGCCGGGCATCACCGCCCCTCCAGCGGCGGT